TTTATATAGTTTTCTATAGACCCTGCAAAATTACATCCTAAAGGTTTATTATTATTATTTAATTAGCTTCTTGCCTTGATGACTGAATAGAGTTTTATGTATATAGGAATGTTTATTCTGTGCTCTAACACCACCCTGGGAATCCAGCTCCCGTCATGCACCACAGAGAGCTGTCAGTCAGATTTGTATTCTGCCCGTACTCAGGTCCCTACTGCAGAGCACGACCCTCAAAGCACCGTACAGAGCAATTAATCAGTGCCCTTGATTGGTTTTAGGTCAGAGCTGGAGACGCTGCTGATATGAGGAAGACTCTGTTTCTGTTCTTGTGTTCTTGGCTAAAATAGGACTGACATTCATAGACAGAGAAAGGTGTACAGCAGTCAGAGGGGAAGGGTGAAGCCTGACTCCTAATGGAAATGAGTAGAAAAAACATCACCACTGTGCACCAGTGTGTAGGCACAGTGTATTCAGAAAACGTGCTTCATCAGCATTATCTAATAATTTTCATATTTTCTTCCAGGAAATTAATATCATTTTAATCATTTGAAACTTAAGATTTCCCTAGCCTTAAAAGTTATGTTGTTTTTATGATCGGTAGCACATTTTATGTATGGTGAAATATTTAAAAGAAATCTGCTGGAAAATAACTGCCAGTACTGTTTAACATGCAGCCTATTGGGTACATTTTTTCTTTCAGGAGGATTCTTTGTGTTTCTTTTAAAGAGGAATTTAAAATACAGCAAGGATATTGTCTGAGAATTCAAGTATGAAAAATTGCAGTAGGTGGTTGTTGTTTACTTACAATTATTTTTTCTGAAATGTATAGGTTTTTAGACCTAGAAATGTGGTTTTTAGAATGTTGGAGTTGTACACAAATACATTATTCAGCCTACTCTGCATGCACGGGTTAGCTGTAAGGAGAAATACTATCCGCATCCGTGTTGCATAAAATATGTGCATATGCAACAGTGTAATGGCTTTAAATGCTTTCCTCGTATAACTCAGCTGGATTTTGGTGGAGTCATCAGGGATAAATTTTAACTAATATCTGCAGACAGTGCTTCAGCAAATAAGAATCTCATAAATATGCAGTGACAGAAAATAGAAATATAACAGCCTCATAGAAATAGTTTTGCCATCTATATGCTGATGGCTCCTATTCTGTGTAACAACTCTTTTTACAGTAACTCCTTTGGAATTGCTCACAAAACCGTGAAGTCAAGTCAAGCATTTTTTTCCAGTACCATTCCTCTCAGTTTCGTTTAACAACCAGTGTAGCGCATCAGTTCAAAATACCCTGATGAACAACAAGCAGGTTCAAATTTGCCTGGTTTGGTTTTTTTTTCCTATGGCATTAGTCATCAGATACTCAAAAAATCCCTTTAGCCTCTGCCATACTGACAGGCAGGATGCCACTGGGAGGGAGACTGAAGTTTCAATTCCCTGTGCCTCGGTGGACTGGAAAGGTGGGGTTGCTGCTGAATAATAACATGTCACCCTCCTGCAAACGCTTCCCTGGCGTTCCTGGGCTGCGCAGCCGTGTGTGAACAGCATCCAGATTCACCACCATCCTGAAATGTTATTACCTCAACACAAAATGCCAATATAATGATGCGAAAATGTTGAATCAGGGATGCAGATCTTCTGCGAGTAGTGAGTTATAGATGTTACAAAGAAGCGTTTCTTGTTCCAAGGAGATCTTGCTTTTCTTTAGCCACCATAATTGACTGTAAGCTCCTTAACGTTTTCTTATAATGCAGTGCTGGAATTTTTGCTGTTCATTTTGAGGCCCAAAGTGGAAGCCTTCAGCTTTCAGCTATTGGAAAGCTACAGACTATGTGCTTCTCACAGTAAAAGGGAGAGAGAGAGAAGGATATAGGTCTTTAATTGACATTTTGTTCAGAAATTCTCTTCTCCTTTCACACAGAGCATCATTCCCCCCTTTTCATGGCATAGCTACCCCTTATTTGTAGGTGCAAACCTGTAAAACATCAGCAGTGTTCCAGATGTGCTATACTCTAGCAAAATTTTGTTCTTAGATTTTTAGGCTAAAACCAGTTTTAAGCTGTGTGAAAGACCCACAGGCAGGTGGTTTAGACTATGAGTCTCAGAAGAAAGGTATGGTAAGAAGGGAATCGTATGCCTCCTGAGCTGCCAGATAATGGATTCTCTCTTAGCAAGGCAGGTGTTTTTCTCATATATGAAAATTAAGAATTGGAGACAGGTCAGAAGTGATGTCACGGCTAATGGCAGGACTGAACTGATAGATTTGCAAGGAAAGATTAAAAAAAGCCATATCCAGCTCAGTTAAATAACAGAAAGATTCATCAGTAATATATCAGCCCCAAAGTGAAAGTACTTAGAACTGCAAAAGTAAAAATAACTAGGAATGACACCAGAAAGCTATTTTAAAAATAGTAGTAAAAATAAATATGTTGAACAGCAGTAAAACTGTTAGGCTGAGGAGTAGTTGCATAGAGTGATTGCCAGTATGACAATTGCAGCTTACGTTTGCTCCATGGATTTGAATTCCCTAGATTTGTAAATGGATAGGGCAAAAATGCTAAAAAGGACACGTTTTATTGCATGGAGCAATCATGTGTTGAAGGTAAATGGCTGGGATGATCCCTTCTGGCTCTTCAATCTCTTTCCTGCCCAGCGTGCCTTAACTGAGGCTCACTGTGATCTTATCTCTGAAAAGTAATATCTTTGTGGGAACCCGAACTGTGATACTATCAGGTCTGCTCTAAGGATCTTGTATATACCACTTCGTCATAGATAATATTGACAGTAAGTGCTCTTACCACTTTTATATATTCTTACTGCGAGTTGTTTTACAGCAAGGCAGCCAAATCAAGAGATTTTTTTCCTGACCAGCTGAGCAACTGATAAGTCTCTTTACAAGCACTTAGGTGAATTCAGTGTTCTGGGACGTTAAAAGGGTGGGTTAGGACAAAAGCGAGTGTCAAAACATAACCTTCTGCTCTTGCCATCACCTCAAAGTTTATCTCCCCACGTGTAAAATTACTCGTCCTTTGAACCCCGCTTTACCTTAATTCCTTTGTTTGGAAAGTCAATCTGATCCTTTTCAGGATTCATTTCTCCCCTTCTGATCTTCTGCTTTAGTCTCCTATTTCCCTCCCTTGCTGTCTGCACATCATGGTCCTTTTTCAGGCTGAGTCATTATCCTTTTAAATGCTCCTAGGAAGGGCTTTTTTCTCAGTCATGCTATCTGCTTCTTAGCCAAGTGGTGCCTGTAGGAAGATCAGAATAACCCAAGCTAGGAAGAGCTCTGTGAATTGCAGTGCCTGTAAAACAAGCTTTACAAGTTGCATTGTTTGTTAACAGCGAGTTCACTTCTATCCCTATTCCCTGGCTGTTTAGATAGACCTAAACCTCCACTGAGAAGCAAGAAGAAAACCTATTTTTGACCATTTTCGGAGCCTGAAGATTAAAACTGACTCAGTCCTGAATTTTTGTGTGTGTGTGTATGTGTGTGTGTGTGTATTTTGAAGAGAATTTTCTTTATTGTGCCAATCACGCACAATCCACAGATGATATGGCTCCCTTCTGCTCTAAAATCTTCACAATTCCTCCCCGTACCTTGAATGGAAATAGGAAATATTCCCTTTCCAGGCCTGCAGTGTCTAATTCAGATTGATTATGCATGAAAAGGAATGTGTCCCAAATGCAATCGTTCCTTGTGCACTACATCTTGTGAGCAAGCAGCCGGTGTGGCTTGCTTCAGTAACTTTTATATGTAAACAGTCTTTAAAAACATAATCTACATTGTCAAAGCCTAATCTAAATGATGTACTGACATTGCTTATTTTGATATGCTGACTTGGTTTTGAATTCTCGCTGGATCGCCTGGCCCCAGATGGCCTTTTTGTGTCTGTTTACTTCTCACTTAGCTGTCACATATTTATTCCCATTAGATGTACAAAGTCAATGGGTTCAGCCTGGTTTTGCAGCTTACTTGGCTAATACAGCATTGGGAAAGCGCTGAGTGAAGCCAAGCAGAGGGTCAGGAAAGAAGCAATGCGGTTTTTGAGGTCTGACAGAGAGACCAACGAGACAGAAAACTGGTAAATGATCCAGCAGAGCAGCAAGAGATTATTTTTTTTTCAGGAAAACATGATTTGACTGGAAAGTAGAAGTTCACTGAAATAGGGAAGGATTTGTTTAGACTCAGTTTTTGGTTTTTAAATCTTACTTCTGAATAAATGCTGAAATTTTGTATAAATCCCATATACTGAAATAAAAAGAAAATTCTGGATTTGTTTCAAATGTGAATGGATATTAAAATGTTAATTTCAAAGCTTTTAAATATAATGAGTTGGTTTTGGATTTATCTTAGTCAAACAGTTGAAGTGCACTACATGATCTTGCTCTACGGAAGCCAATCCTTCAAGCTAAGAAAAATAATCCCAAAAAATCTAGTTGGCATGATCTTGCCCACAGTTATGTGCAGAGCCCAAAAGACAAATGGGTGTTCATGGCATCGACAGCAACCTGAAGCATGACTGAAATGTGGACCATGTTGAATCATGGTCTTCCATCTGGATAGCCATACCTGCCCTCCCAGCTTCTCCCACTGTGAATACCTTCCCTATAAATGATTGCTTTTACAGCTGAAAAACAAAATTTAGTGGGGGATTTGAGGTGGAACTTAGCATTGATGGAGGGAGCCTGATGCTTCCTTTGTTCCCTGAGAGGGACAGTAGAGGTTTCCTGCATGGCACTGTTTCACCAATGGTAAATTGTTCTCAGATTGCATTTCTTCCATTTCTGCTGAGGTGCTCAGCCAAAGCTCCACGTGGCACCAGTCACAGTGCACATTTTGTGCTGGCAGCTGTTGACCACCCAAACTTCACTTTCTTTAAAGAACAGACTGTGTCGAAACTCCCACATTTTACGTGCACTAACTTCCTTTTGGACTTGACAGTACATATGGACTTGACAGTACATAGTCTGAGCTATTCCTCTTTTTACCACAGGTGAAATATGGGAACTACGCCTTTGTATGGGACGCAGCAGTACTGGAGTACGTGGCCATCAACGACGCAGAATGCTCTTTTTACACAGTCGGGAACACTGTTGCGGACAGAGGATATGGGATTGCACTGCAGCATGGCAGCCCCTACCGAGACGTTTTCTCACAAAGGTAAGTGTTTGCAGAAGGAGGAGCAGGTCCTAAGGGAAGGTGACTCTCAGCTCTGAACCCTTCTTTCAATTTAATTTTCTGTGAAGGGAAAACATCTTGTGCTTGCAGTTCATTTCTTACATAGGCATTCATTTCCTCAGAGACATAGGATTATTCACTTTTCTAGAAACTGCTTTAAAAACACTTCGTGTTTCTCTTTTTTGAATTGTTCTTGTTTCTCTTGAAAAACATTAATGAGATAGGCTGAATTCATTAGCAGGAAAATGAGGAAAGAGTTGATTCATTTGTTATAGAGGGACAGCATAACTCAACCTTCCTGCTACAGAAGCCTTTTCTTAAAGAGAAAAACGTAAACTTGGACACTGATGGGAAAACTGAAGGGGATGAACAAGAACATTTGATGTTTCAGTGAAAAGAACCCTATTAGCACCCAAAAGCTTAGATGCTTATCCCAATACTAATCGATCTCTTGGGCTACAAAAGTGAGGTCTCTAGAGATGCTTCTGGTACTGTGTTGCTATTGGGATCAGAAGTACTAAATTAGTTGTATGTATTGTGCCTCTGCAGTATTTGTGCTTCACTCTAGTATTGATTCCTAGATCAGGATGTGTGTGAGATGTGAAAAACAATCAAACAATTTAAAAGTGTAATATCTGCAGTCTGACTTTTAGGAGAAGATGTGGGCTGATCTCATGGCTCTTTTCATTCTGAACCTCTTCTCTCAATCTGGTTTCTAATGGCTTGTGTTAGATGCGTGTAACAAAATTTTACAGTTGCTGTGATGGAATTTCTTTTGTGTGGTTGCCATAACGAACGTGAACCATTTTGTCATACAAATACGCTTCATTCAGGCTATTGCCTTTGCCTTCAGTCCATAAAATGAGGTAAGGGGGAAAAGAAGTCAATACGCAGATTTAGAGGAATCACCGTCTATCCACATATACTGCATGAACAGAGAAGGATTCAGTTCTTTGAATATGCTCTATGTTGGGAGGAATTTGGCTGAATTTTGTGCTGATACAGCAGTACCATAATACAAAAGTTCACAGGATCAATTAAAAAAAATAATATCAATGAAAAATACATATATGCTTTATATACATCAATATAGACAATTATTTACTGGATACTTTAATACTCCAGCCATGACCAGGCTGGCTTTGCTAAAAATCTCTGGCTTTGTAGTGTTTGGGGTCTCCACACAAAACAAAGGAGCAAAATTTCTTCCTGTAATCTAAGAAATGCTTGCAGATGATAGATGTCTCAGCTGCTAGTCAAGGTGTTAAGTCATCCTCTTCAGAGCATTACCCATGTGAGCTTGAGTACAAAAATTTGAAGCCATAGGGGACTTCCATAGACTGTGTGTTTATTACTACATACAATGAGTGTGCCGAGTGGCATGGCATGGCTTGTGCCCACATAGATGAGCATTCTTCATCCCCACCACGACTGCTCTCCAAGTCAAGGTGGGTGTATCTAAACCACCCCTTAGGGACTGCTTCTGACATCATTCATATACTTGTTATAGTCCTCAGCACATGGGGGAAGTGGTTGTGGCTGGTTATGGTAAGTTGTTATCTTCTTGTCACAGTATTTGGTACCTGGAGAGTCTAGGTTACATCTTCTCCTGATACACTGCCTGTAGTGACTTCTGGATCATTGGTCTGTGCAGGCCTGACATTTCCAAGTGCAATTTTATTTTGTAACAAAATTTCAGCATTTTAGTGTATTATTATATCTTGAAGGTGTAGGAAAGCAGAACGAAGGATAAAAATTTGCACATATATAGCTCTTTTTATCTAAGGATCTTTGAAGCGATATTTAAATATTAGCATCTCTCAGTGGAAAGTAAATGCCATTTCCATTTAATGCTTAGCGAATCCATAGGATAAGGAGTCTTAAGCTAATTCCCAAGGTCAAATGTTTTTCCCTGGTGGAATCAGGGATCATAGACGATCAGATTTCCTCATTTTCCATTTCCTGCTATAGTTATCAGAGTTCAGGTAGATGAAGAAAGGAAATATTTGTGAGATACTGCGTCACAGGAGGGTCTGGATGGATGCACAAAACTTAGCACTGATGAGAAAGTAGCTCGTTCCATTATCAAGACTTATGGTTAAACAAAGAAATTGGAAATTGCTTGGAGTGATGCTACCTACAGGAGAATTTGGAGAGCCTGAGATATATATTCTGAAAATGTGCGTGCTGTCCCTTGTTTTTTATTTCTGTATTGTGAAAGCTTATTATATTGCACTTCTAATTATGTCCATAAATATAGGTTTACAGTTTGAAGCTGTGAAACACCACATAAGGAGCAAACACATGAAAGAGAAAGCGTGCTTACAAGGTAGCTTACAAGGTTTTGTTCTAAAAACCCTTCAGTACTGTTCCTTATGATTACTTCCATGTAGTTTTCACAAATCATCCTTACTTTTCTTCCTAATGAAAAGGCTGAGCAACCTTCAGCTGCTGCAGCCTGCATGCTAAAAAGAGAGGGATATAGTTTTCACTGGGTAGGATTAGCAAATGTTCACATGAATATTTCACGTTCTTTAATGCAGTAGGGAACTAGTTTGAAATATATTGACATTTCTTGATCTTTCCCCAAATAAATATATTTATGTGGAAATACAGGGGTTCTCTTTTATGAAATTTCCTATAAACCCATAAGCTGCACAGTGTTAAATCCCTAGGGTGCAGCTGTAAAAGGTCTGGCAAGCTTACAGGAGATTTTGGTCTCAACGCAGGAAGCACGGGCATGAGTTTAAGGCTTTTCATTACCTTTTCTGAACACTCAGGTGACTCCCAGAGAAAGAAGAAAAGAGATAGAGAGGTGCAAACACCCACCCCTTCTCTCCAATGCTGCAGGGCATCAGTTGCAGTAAAGATAACACTGCGGTTAAGTTTAGGCATTTGGGATTTCCAAAAACACTCTGTATTTGGGATGTCTGTTATGTTTTCCTGCGGGGGATTAACACATGCAGAATACTGTGGTCTTTGTGGACTGCAATGATATTCACCTGCACTGTGAAGTATTCCAGTCCCTATGGGAGTTTACTCGTCAGGCTGCTTGAGAAAAACATCAAACCTGCCAGCAGTTTGAAATGCTGAGAAGCCAGCAAAATCCATCCAGGACCTTGCAAAAAAAACATTTCCCCCCTTAAGTGATGGTGTGGCCCTTTATACCACAATCAGTTTGCAAGGTGCTAAAAAGAAGTCTGAAACAACCGAGAACCCTGTGAGAACCAAAGCCACGGTGATGGTCCTGGTGGCCGTGTACCTGTGTTTGGGATATGGGACTGCAGCTGGTAACCAGCTGGTTATCTGGTACACACTGTGCTGAAGAGATACACAAACTGCAGTGCCCCAAGCACCACATGGAGCCAGTGCTGACAACTGTGCTGCTCCCATGAATAGAATATGGCTAAATTAACATGAATAAATCAATATATACTTCATTTTAAATTGATGCAATTAAGCAAGTATTGTACAGAATGGGCTGCCATTGAGGTACATTTGCCTGCATTGATTCATATTGTGTTTATAATTTTACAGGTGTAAAGTGATCCCTGTACCCTTTAGAGAGAAGAGTGAGTGCTCCCACATATTTGAACTGATGCAATTTAAATTCAAAATTATTCTTACAAACACAACTTTGAGTATAATGAAATATTAGGGGAGAGTGGGGCAAAAGGCGTATCACTTAGAAACTCCATGCATATTTCCTGGGCTTTTAAAAAATTGATTCCAGCTACACCACAGAAAATGCAACCCTGTTCAGGATTATTCTTTCCAGACTCAAGGAAATGCAACATGATGAACAAAATGTTTTTGATGAGAAAATTTATACCACTCAAAGTGCAATATCAATATGCCTTCAAGAAAGTATTTTGTGCAGGTATGGCTTTGTGAAGGAGAAGGGTAACCAACTGAAAGCACTGTAAAGAAACTGGCCTTTGAGGCTGACCTTCTTCCCCACATGCAGAAAATCTTTTCTAGGCCAAAACATAGACATGAGCAGCAGTGAGTGGCCTGACTGCAGAACAAGATTGGCATTTTGCTGTATTGGGGTGTCAAAGTGGCCAGCTGAGTCCCACGTTGTGCCTGTGACCACTCTGTGCCTAACGCTCTCTCTGAAAACAGGTGTGTGGCCATAGCTCAAATAATATAGAAAATAATCTGGGTAACATGTGAATGATGGACCTGTCATAGTATCCTAATGGCTTCATTCACGTGTTGCAGATCTTGGTCTGGCCATTCCATTAGGCACTGGCAAATGCGCTCAGGTAGATTGCTGTCCCCTTTTCTTTGCCACTAAGCCTTAACCTTCTGAGCACCAGTAGCCTCCAGGTAGCATGTCAGTTTTCTCTCCCGCTCTTTTTGTTTCAAGGTAATGACAGGGGCTTTAGTAATAGGAACTGCCAAATTTCCTAGGAGAGTCTGAAGAGTCATTTCGTTTGTGAGGAACTTTGTGCTGACACTAAATTTGACACCTGTTGAGAAGTCTTTTCAACCCTAACCTTTAAAACTTCCCCTGTGCCCCTGGGAGGTATAAATGTAATAGCAAACTCTTTCCAGAGTATGTCATAGGATGTCTGTGCTTCCTATGGTGCAGCAGCAATGGCTCAGGCTCTGTGCTGGTGGCTGCTTTCTGGTGGGGGTCAAGGAGGGGGCAGCAGCAAACTGTTCAGATCCCACTCATGTCCCTGCTTCCTCCACTGGCCTTTTCTGCGCTACAGTCTTGGCCATGCAACACATTAGAGGCAGAGGGAGAGGAAAGACTAATTTCATGCTCATCAGAGGCCAGTGGCTGCCTTTTCACTTAAGTAACTAGAAGCTGTCAACACCCAGTACCTCTGAAAAATCAAGCCACAGTTATTTTGCTTTCTTCATATCCCAAGAGCATCCATGTGCATTCTGCCCCAATGATTTCACTTTTAAATAAGTGGAAACAGTGACAATAAATAAAAAAAAAAGACAAGATTGCCCTCAGAGTCCACAGCA